GTGCTGGGCATGGCATAGGCTCCCCAGGCCAGTGGGCATGGCCCCAAGTTGCTGGGGTTCAAGGAGCATTTTGACTATGCTTTCAGCCATAGGGTTTGGGGTTTTGGGTGGTTCTGTGTGGAGCCAGGAGTTGGATTCAATGGTCCTGTTTGGTCCCTTCCAATTCAGGATATTCTTCTATTATTTATCTTATGTGTGCTGGTAGGTGGGGTTTTCATGACAGCAAGGGCTCTGGATAAAAAGCTGTGATATCCTTTCTTCCTTTTTTCTCTCCCTTTTTCTTTTTTTCTTCTCCTTTTTTCTTTCTTTCTTTTTTTTTTCTTTCTTTCTTTTTTTTTTTTTTTTTCCCCTTTTTGTGTGTGTGTGTGTGCATGCCATTGTTTGCTAAATTTGTCACAACAGGCTTATCTCCAGGAGAGCAGAAAGGGTGTAGGAGTAGGCCAATTACCCATATCCACATTAGCTGCTAAGTAGTTGGTGTTTTGTCTGAGGTGTTGGCATCTTTCTTCCCCAAGTTCACCAAATGCAAGCTTTTCCAGGGTAACCTTCTGTCTTAGACACTTGGGGGTTGAAATTTATCATGTAAGGTGTCTGTTTGAAGTTCTTCATGTTTTGAATTTGTAAGGAGGTGAGTCATCTGTTTTTCATGTGGGGAAAACAAAACAAAACAAAAAACACGACGGTAGAGAATCTTCTCTATTATAAAAAGAATCTGTTCTGCATTTTCTTTGAGTTGGCTTGCTGCTGAAACAGACAAGGTAAAAAACAGACATATGCCGTGCCAAAATAGACCCTTGGGTCTGGCAAATGTGGGTTTTGTTTATGGAAGTTCAGAGCCCTTGAAAAATTGTTTACTGAGTGCACATGCAGTATTTTTACATTTACAACATTGGCAGTTGGGTGTAGTATTGTTCTAGGAGGAACCCAACATATTTATCTCTCCATGCAAGCTGGGAAGTAAAATACACAGCTGTGGTCAAGAGTTGCTGTAAGATGCATGAATTCTGAGTGCAGAGTTCTCCTTTGTCGTGTGAGGTCTCATCTGAACACTTGGAATTTATGAAATATAAATGAGTTTCTATTTAGGCTCTTTTTAGGTGAATAAAAAGGTGCCATCCTGTTACTTTGCAATGGTGAATGATATGGTAGAAAAACACATGCAAGCCCTGTTAACACTGCCAGAGCAGAAGCCTTACTGTTTTAATACTCCAATGTATCAAAAATTCTTCTAAAACTACAGAAGTAATGATGATAAAGCCTGAAATAGATTTGACAGTGTTTCTCAGTATTATGCATTACATGACATGGAACATGACAGAAGTATGCACAGTATTCCTAAGGTCAGATTTAAGTGATACTGCAGCTTCCTTACTTACTATTATTGAATCTTTGGAACAAATTCATGTTTTGATTCACATATTTAGATGATGCAAATTCTTTAAAATTACTAAAGCTTTTACAGGCAAGGTTTTTGGTGGGTTTTTTTCCACTTCTTTTTATTCCCAAGCATTTTACATCCAAATCCTTAATATATTGGGCCAACAAAAGGTATGTATAGGACTGATCCCATTCATTGACCTTGAAACAGGTCCCACTGAAAGTCGATGAAAATATTGCTATTTATTTCAACGGAGTTGGAAGCAGGTCCATAAGACTTAAGTAGAGTTTACATGGTACTTGGGTTTTATGCTTGCCCTTTGCACAGGGGTGAATCTCATTCCACAAGAATGCCACTGGTGTATAGCAAAAACTCAGCAGCAGTATAATCACCTAAGCCTGAAGGACATCCTTCCTTTAACAGTTTGTACTTGGCACTATACGTTTACTTTTTTTTTTATATACATGCATTATGAAACTCTGTGTATGTTTTGATGGTGAAAATGCCCTACAAATTAAATGCAGAAAACAATTTTTTTGTTATAAATAAATAATGATTAAAAGAACAATTTCCCTTCCTCCCAAATGAAAATGGTTTTCATCTTTTAACTAATAAGGCTTTGCAGACTGTCATTAGTACCACAGTGTGCTATTTCAGCGCGTTAGCTCTTGACTGGCGATTACATCATTATCATTAACTTTGCTGTAGCATAACTTCTATCTCCATTGCTTATCAAACCATTAATTGGAAGGAATCAATTCCTGTCAGCCTTCTGCTTTGCTGTTCCCCACTGCAAAAGGCTAGTGCTCACGGGCAGCTGTCCCCCTTTCCAGCCTTCCTGGTGAGCACGTACCTCCTTGCCCTTGCTTGTCAGTGCTCCTGTGTTGGGGAAGCACTGTAGCTCCCTAGTTCAGGTTGCACCAAGTGAGGCCAGCTGGAGCAGGTTAAAGACAGCTTTGTCAGGCTGCTTTTTGACTGAAGCGGGTTAAGGAGCATGAACTCCTCTACCTACTTGCAGACGTTTGCAGTGACAGACTCGAGCAGGAAGAGGAAGATAAGCTGTTGGAGTCAATAACCTCTCTCATTGGCACAGGTGGATTTGGGAGAGGATGTCAGTGCACAGCCTAGTCACACAAGCATTTGTGCTCTACATGCTGACAAATACCTGATGGCAGCAAAAATCTACATCATCTAATTACGAGGAACAAATTGTCTATTTTGGTAACTAGAAGAAATTTTATTAGGTTACATTATGTTCCTAATAAAGATTGTGACTGTATTGCATCAGATTGTGAGTAATTTTTTACAGTGCTGAACTTGCCTGAGTAACCCTATTGCTTTAAAAAAGATCAATCCTCAGTATTTATGGAAAACTCATTTTTAGTCTTAATATTCACTGTCAGGTATGGGGAGATGTCAGGTTTAAACTTTTTTGTTGTTGATGTAAATTATTTCTATGAGCTGATAGTTTATGGTTTTTTTTTTTTTCTCTAACCATGCTTTTAATTACACTGCTTGTAACAAAGCATAGGATTCCTGTGCCAGATTAACATGTCCATGAGTGGGCAGGGTATCTTGTGCAGCAGATGCTGCTGGCCAGGCAGGCATGCCTCCACTTTGCTGAACTTCTGTCTAGAATGTGGTGTCCTCAGGAGGTGAGGATCCGTATCTGTGTCGAGCTTTGTCATAGAAGCATGTTTCTTCCTTCCTGGACATCTGTGCCCTGTTCATTTTAAGCCCCATGAAGCAGAGATTTTTAGTCTACTGCGAGTCCCACCTAAACTTGTTTGCACCTTAATTTTTTTAAAGACTCTTAACCTTTGTTACTCTAGAGCAACTTCTCCATCACAAATCAGAAATGGACAATCTTTCGTTTTTCTTTCATGTCTGTTCATGTACACAAAATAGAGAAACAGAAAAGAAAAATAGTTCCAATAAATCCAAAAAAGCATTGTCTGGAAACATGAAGATTTAGTGCAAATCTGCAAAATTATACTCATTCAGAACAGGGACCTCCAGTGAAAATTAATGCACCCTTTCCCTCTCAATTTTCAAATTGTCAGACATACAATTCTCAAGGGATTCCTCAAAAAATATTTTACCTTTGGTAATTCCTACACTCCCTTTTTTACATTAAAACACAATAATGAAGATTCAACCTTCTGTACTTTTATCTGCCTCTCTCATTTGCATGTCTTTCCCTCGTTAGCTTTGATATCACAGTGCCATCTACTTGATGGACAGAGTCAGATTATTTCCCTTAGCAAACTGCCACACATCTGTAACCCTGCAGAAATCCAATGTCTGCCCAGTTTGTTCACCAGTTCTCCCCTCCTCCACCCCTCCAAGCCCGCACCTTGGAAAGCTGGCCTGGCTCCATGCATGTTTTGTGAGCTAATAAAACACCCTGGTGGGACAATGACAGATTCAACAGCACACTGAGAGCAGTTCAAGCCCTGGTGACCCCTCTCCTTCCTGACAGGTGTTTCGTTTGAAAGCTGGGTCCCTCTCTGTACACATAGAGCACTTCAGCCCTTTGGACGTGTAAACTGGGGCAGCAGCTTTGTTAGGAGTCAGAAGGCTTCACGGTAGTCAAAGGAGCTTCGTTGCAGAGCCTGGTAGATTGAGCTGTTCCCTCTTTAAAACACCTACAGCCTGTTCTGAGCCCTGGAGGTGTATGCTTTATTAATTTCTATGACAAATATTTAGAGAAGAAACACTAGAGACGGCTAAAAGGAACAATCACTTTTCACTTGCTTCCAAAGACCTGTTTCTCTACTGGAATCACCAGTCTGGCAAGATCAGCAGTCAGAGGCAAGGTGACATTGCCACACAAAATTACTTCCTACCTATAAGACAGGCTTTTTTCTTGCTCTACACTATGGAAAGGTTTTTGAAGTTTTTTTTTTTTTTTTCCTATGTATATTTCAAAGTAGTTTTGACTCATTCATTTGAAAGATGAATGCGTAGTAGACTTCAGTTTTACCTATCCTTAAGTCTTCCGTTTTTATTGCTTTTATCCTCATCTGTCATTCTTTTCTTATCTTACAATTACAGCCCCAGACAGATAGGGTGAACATTCTCGCAGCTTCCCAGTGCTCAAAGTCCTTGGTGGGCCTTTCACGTGAGTGCTCTTATCACCTCAACGTTTTGTCTCTCAAAAGATATCTTTGCTCTGACTCATGCATACAAGCAGAGCAAGAAGAAGTACAGGCTTGCTTTTATCTGCACCCAGGTGTGTGTGTGCAGACTGGGGGCTAATAGAGACATCTGAGCCCGTTGCTGTCACCTCCCACCCGTAGAGGGGGTGGGACTGCCCTCTGTAGCATTTCCTTGTACCATGCTGATCCTCTGCTACCCACTGGGTGTAATCACTTTACTGTGGAGAGAGGAGAGCTAATTTCAAGGATGTAGGGAAGCAAGGATGAGGAGCACCTGTGGACTCATCATTAAACATACTGATTAATCTATCATTAATTGTAGTGATGGTTCTCAGGCAGGGCCCAGAAGGGAATGTGGGCACACCGTTTCCCATCTTGAAAGATTTCTAATGTTGGCATTGAGCTAAATTTGTTTGCTGCAATTTCATGCTGGCTGGTGGGGGCATGGTGCAGTGCATTAGGAGGCTGTCTTTTCACTGGGTGGCCACTGCGCTGAGCAAACCTGAGGTGTTGCCTGGTGTTGCTGCCACGGAGCTGCAGCTGCAGTGCTTCCTTCCTCTGGTAAGGAACAGCATTGTAGTCAGCCCACAGCAGCACAGTGAGTATGTGCTCTGGGATACCAAGCTATAAAGAAATATTCCGTAACAGCTGTGAGGAGCTACAACAAAACAAACAACTGTTTGCCTTCTTAATGGCCATCAGTCTTGATGGCGTTCCTGGTTCATTTATAGCTCAGGATGAAGATAAAAGTTAACATTGATCGTACAACAATAACCTCTTATGTGCAACTACTACAGTTGCTTGGGAACACAAAGCCAATATTTTCCATGTTGACACCAGCACCTGTTCTGTCTCGTGAGTGGAGAGGTTCCATGTAAATATCCCGTATGAGTGCTAACATCCTCCGGCTTCCAATTTGCTTAGGAGAATTAAATAAGCAGAACATCCAGGGTCAAAGAGATATTTGCAATGATTGTAAAATGTGCATTTTGTCCACACAGATGCCAGATATTCCCTCTTGTCTTAGAGCTTAGTAACTTTGATACAGCTCTGCCATCAGTTGCTACCATGGCCAGAAAGGAACAGGAGTTGTTCACTCATTGAGAGCTGGTAGCTAGTGCTAGCTGAGTTCTTCATATGCAGTTCTGGTAGTGCTTTCTCAGCTGTTTTATTATAGTCCAGGTGAAATACAGCATGGATTACATCTGGTTGCCTCTATATTAAACCTCATGTGGAACATGACTTCAGACATGCTATTTTCAGCTTTTTCCATGCTAAGTGGCACAGAGGAGATATTTTGAGGTTTCAGAAGGGACTCTGCATTTCTAGTCTGTGTTGTACACTAGCTTTGGGCTCCCTGCTGCCCCAGAAGTACTGCTGTTGCCTGTACTCAGACCACTACAAGCTCAAAGGCAGAAGCAAACCACAGCCGGCTTTCCCTGCAGCCACTTCCTTGCTGAATGAACACAAACCTTGTCAGACTGCAAGAGAGTGGTAGAGGAAGAGGAAGACACCTCTTGCATGTGGGTAGATTGCTGTCGTAATAAACACCTGAACAAACCATTATATCTTGGCTAGAACTCTTCATGTGTGGCAGAGATCCTGCAAAGCCAAGAATTTAATAAAATTTGTTCCTCCACCTCCACCCAGCCAAAGTATATTCCCTGGTTTTCCCTAAAGCAATCTTAATTTAAATAAATATAATAAAATCTCATCGAGATGATGAGATCTGTGCTTTCAGAAAAACGTGGCATGGTAAAATCCTTGAGGGGGTAAATAACTTCTCTGGGCAGTGCCAGCTTAAGCAACTACGTGTAAGCAGCTGCTCACATGTACCCCTGTGTCCCTCCCCTGCTGCAACTGCTGACAAAGCTGTGTGATGAACTAAGTGGGAGAGCAGATCCAGATGGAAAATGGCCCAGGGGGAAGGCAGGGGGCTTTCAGCCAGATCACCTCCTCCATCCAGCCTCAGATGCTCAGCTTGCACCCTACCACCAATAATGGGAACAGGATTGCAGGGCGAAGGGGACACAAAGGGTGGTGACCGTTTAAACCAGTTTTGCTACCCTTGCTGAATGTCAAGCCATTGCTTGGATAAAAAGAAAACAAACAAAACTCAGGAAATCCCCAATGTAAGGAAATAGTGCAAGCCAATTTCCCTCAATTCCCACCTTAATCTGTTTATTCCTTGCTGTGATGCTTGTCCCTGCTCCCTGGGCACCCTTCTTGCCCTCATTGCTGTGCCTCATTAGGAACTGTTGTGGTCTGTCTTGCAACACACATGGGTTTCTTGGGGAGTAGCAAAGGGGAGAGGAGATGCAACACACAGGCTGCATGCGTACTGTGTGCCTTCTCTGTGCCAGCACGAGCTCTTCCTGGTATCCTCTGCTTTAGTCCTCTGCCAGGTTGTGTGCAGACTGGACACTTTGTGCAGCACTGGCACTGCACCGTAATTTGGCATAGAGAATTGTTTAATGGTTTCTTCATCTTTTCCTTACTCTGCAGGGTAGAAATGAGGGGCTTTGGTCAGGAGGCAGCGTCATAGTGGAGCAAGCTCTTTTTGGATGAACATAAGTTGGAGATGCATTAACACTGCTGCATTATATCCCTGTGCTCATCACTTTGTCCCATACAGTCCTTGGGGATGCAGCATGGCAACATGGCAGCAGAGCAGCTATGAGCTGTCACCCACTGGGCATGTGGCCACCTCACGCGAGCAGGCTGCCCATGGTGCTCCTGATGCACTGCTCCCTAAAAGCAATGGGGCTGCAGGGCCAGTGTCACCGCTGCGGCTGTGATTGCTGCTGACGGATGTTGGGGCTCTTGCCAGGATAAGTCAGGTCCAAGCTGAGATGCCAGCAGCTCCTGCTGTTTTGACATGAGTTTGATTAGACCGGCACGACACAGCATCCACAGGCAGTGCCTGAGTGCCAGGGGCCATTGCTAGCAAATAGGATAATAAGGTCTCTCCCAGGGACTGAGCCAGGGGTACTGCGAGCAGCTGTTTTGCTGCCATCAGAGCACAGCAATTTGTCACAGCAGCCCCTCCAGGTCCTCCACATGCCTCAGTGTCCCCTTGGTGTGCACAGGCCCTTCTCTGCTCCGTGCCTGGGCTTCTACCAGTGTGCCTGTGCAAGAGGAACACAGCACTGGGTGGAATCAGAGCAAGTCGCATGCTGTTTCTGACTTCGCTGAGGGGTTATGACCGCCCTGCAGCCAAAGGAGACTAGAAGCGTCCTCCGAAGTAGGGAAAGGCAGTGGCTGCAGCTTGGGCTGGCTCTTAAACCGGCCCCGTAGGGCTCACACACACACACAGTAGGTGAATGCAAACACCGCCTGGGGCGGCAGCTTCCCGGAGGTGGAGCCGCACCGGTACAGGTGGAAAGGCTGAGCCTTCCCCTGAGCAGTGAGCTAGCTGCCTGCCCAAGATCACCCCCTCATCCCCTGCCCCACGCCAGCCTGGCCATGGCGAACACGGACGGCGTAGGGGGCCGGAGGAAGAATTTGGCCCTGCTGCGGCACAAACTGTACATGGGGGAGAGGAGGAGGACGGAGCCCGTGGTAGAGAGCAGCGGGGCTGGGGAGCACGGTGCCTTGCGCAGGAGTCAGTCGGACAGGACGGAGTACGGCCAGAAGCTGCAAGGTACCCGGGAAGCGTGCTGGGTGCTGCGTTGCCCGTGCTGGGTGGGAGCATGGCGCCTCTGGGGTGCTGTCTGGCTCTGGAGATGGGCACGGCAGGCTCTACCCAGGCACCTGCGCTGCAGGACTGAGCGATTTTCAGTGCTCACCACTCATGTTTTCTAAATCCCATCATGCACATAGCGTGTGAAATATAATTGAGGTCGGTATGGAGGTTCTGGTGTGTTCCTGTGCAATGCATCTGCAGCTGGTGTCTTTCTCCTCTTCTTGACCAGAACACATCTGCAACTCAGGCAGTGACTTGAAAAGGCCATGCCTCCGCCCTGGCTGTCTTTTCTTACCGCACACAGTGGGCTGTACACTGACTGATCAGAAGCATCGAGGGCAATTTTGTCTTTCAGTTGAAAATACCAGCATCTCTAATGTGTTAATCTGTTGCTCAGATTGTATGAGCCTGAGCTGAAATACATCCAAATGCATGCTTTGATGGATACGCTGGTTTGAATTATACCATTATGAAGAGCGTTTCTTTTCAAATAACCAAGTTGCGCCTGGGCCAGGAATTGCCAAATTATGTCAGTACTGGGCCTGTCAATTACAAATTAAATGCAATGCCACAAATGGAGAAAAAGCATGAAAGATGTGCATAGCTATTTCTGGGAGAGCTCTGAAACACAAGCTGATGGATTTCTGTGGATTTTCAGGGTCTTGAACTACAAGATCTCATCACAAATGCAGGATTTGAGTATTATCACAATATAAACATTTATTACTAATAGTGATATAACTGCCTATGACAATCACTCTTGTGGCAGTAATCCTTTATGGGGAAGTAAAGTAGAAAAATACCTTAGGTTACTGTATTATGGTTTTGATGCATTTAATTAGGAAGCGATTTTCTTTCAGAGAGACAATAAAAGCAGAAAATAAAATAATAAACCAGAAAATAATAGGATTTATATGGGGGCTGCATATGCTGACAGCAACTGAGAGGTTCATTGATTACAGCGTTGCCTCCTCGTGACAACTAATCAATGGGGAGATGAAAGATGTTCAGTTAAGTCAGGCATGGCTCTGGCAGAGGTGCTTCAGGTGTGAGTGGGAATCGATGCAGCCGGGTGGCTGAGCTCCCGGCACACATGCATGTGTCACTTGAACAACAATTTTGCTTGTGCAGTGGGCTGCCCATGTCAGGTCTGGTATAGAGTGGGATCCAGCCAAATGCACCAGCCCTTCCTCTCCCACATGGTGTGCTCATTCTGGGACTGTCTCCTGCTAGAAGTCTGGAGTGAAGGAGGCAGGGAAGCCTTGGCTGGCATGGCAGTGTGTGAGGTTACGCTGATGGCCACGGGCCAGCATAGTGGTAAATCCGGCTTTGCTGCTCCCACCTCCAGCTGAGGCTGCTGCGGCCACAGATGGCAGAGTGCCCACCCAGTGCTGGCTTGCTGTGCATGCTTATGTCTGCACATGAAAAATGCCAGTGGGTAATGAGGCACCTGCAGGTTTTGCATTCAATCAGAAGTTGTCTGTCCTCAGAGTAAAAGTACAAAGTGGGTAGAAATTCCATTGAGGGGTGTTTATATTATTAGTGGAAAGACATGGAGCTGTGTGCAAAGGCCTGACCTGGATCTAATTGTGGTGATCCTGATGTGCCTGGATCTGATGAGGATCACAGGTCCCAGACCTAATCTGTTACCCACTGATGCCAATGAGATACTCCTTGTATGTTTTTCATTTTTTTATCAGTGCTTAAATACAATTAGTATTGAAGAAAGTGGTTTTTTTTGTAGAATCATAGAACAGTTTGAGTTGGAAGGGACTTTTAAGGGTCAAGTGGTCCAACCCTCTCAATGAACAGGGACACCTACAGCTCCATCAGGTGCTCAGAGCCCCTCCAGCCTGACCTTGGCTCTCTCCATGGATAGGGCAACCATCATCTTTCTGGGCAACCTGTGCCAGTGCCTCATCATTCTTAGCGTAAACCGTTTCTTCCTTATGTCCAGTCTTAATCTCCCCACTTTTAGCTCTAGTTTGAAACCATTTCCCTTTGTCCTGTCACAAAACTTTTCAGCTCTCCTACTTTGGTAAGAAAAGCAAACAGTTATGTTGGTGATGCAAACACTCTGTTGCGTATTGTCAGGTCTGGAGTCTCTGATGGCTCTGAAATGGTGTTTTGCAAAAAAGATTCAAGTGACAATAGTTTGTACTTGCATCTGGTCCTGCATGAATTGGAGGCACATGTTTGGAAAGCTCCGTGTTTAGTTAACTCCCCATAGTTTCTTGTTAATGTATTTTCTAACAGGTGGTCTGCAGAGCTGTAGCAGGCACTGCACAAACAAGGATGTGGAGGACAGGGAGCAAACTATGCAGATGTGAATCTCGCATGAGCAGGACAGGTTTCCAGTGAGAAGCAGGGTCCTGCCAGAGCGTGCAGGACCCTGCTAATGAAAATCAACCCAGGCTGAGCACGAGGAGTCAGGTATCTTTGAGTGGACTTCCTGCAATTTTTTTTCTTTTATATGGAATCCAAACTGCTTTCTAAAAGAGGGTGGGGAAAGGGATCCACCAGCCAGATACCCATGGCAATCAAGGTGGCTTGTTCTGTAAGTCTACAAACATAAGAAAAATAATAGCATTGTCAAAGTGCAAACCTTTGCAAGTGTTTTTCACTTCAAAATGAAGGATTCATTAAAAAAATGCAAGTAACCATTTTCAGGTTGATTATTATCCTAGATACGTCTATTCAATAGCTTCTCAGGTGTGAATGGACATGCAATGCCTCCCCCTTTTCCTCCTGTTGATAAAGGAAGCAAGGTGCAAAGTAACCATTATATTCTCCAAGAGCTTGACTAACCTGAATGCACCCATTTCAGCTCATCCTGTGAGATAACCAAGTGCCACCAGCTCCATTTTAGATAAGGGGAAGCAAGGTGTTGCTTTCAAATGGCAGGTTCGTGAGACAGCCATGCAGCCACCTAGAGCTCAGCTGGGATGGGTCCAGGCACACCTTGATCGAACTCTCCTCTGTGCTCCATCAGCTGGAAGTGAGCATCACTTTCCTAAAGAGGGAAGAAGAGGATTAAGGAAGATAAATTCACTAGGACTTGAGGCAGAAATAATATGGAGGGTCATTTTAAGAGCTTAGATCCAGCTTCTATGATATTTCTACACTGTGCCCAGCTCTATGTTCACTATTTCATGTAGTGCAGGATTTTCTCCTGCAAATATGCTCTTTCCTACTATCCTTAAGTGGCACAAAATAATATTTAGCAGCTGTTTTCAGAAGTATTACCATAGCTGTTCACCTGGTAGATGCTGGTCTCCTACAGCTGAAAATCCATCAGTAGCAGATGGAAAAGTAACAATATCAATATTTATGTATTGCATTAATGCTGGGATCAATCTGTGAATTAACCGACAGCTGTCATCATCCTGGTGCAGTACCTATGTGCATAGATGTACCTATGTACCTATTGGCACATACATGTTTGCAGAATCAGGGCAGACTGTGGTAGATGACTAATGGGGATAGATACCACCAGCCAGAAAGGAGAGAATAGTAAACAGAGGTTTCAAGCATAGTTCACTTCTGCTAGGGTTTCTTGTTTGTTTGTTTGTTAATAAGCACATGCAAAACTTGTACTTGGTATGAAAAACAAGCTATAGAAAGTGGTGAGTTCCCAGAAAGAGCTGGAGATGAACATTCAGTGTTCAGCAACGTAGTATGTGCTTTGAAGATACTCCTTGTGTTACAGATCTATGAGATACTAACTTCTTTCTAACTAGCTGGGAGAGGGTCATCCGTGCTATCAAATGATTTGCACATGCATTAATTTCAGTGCATCAGTATTAGCTCACCTCTCCTTCCCACCAGGCACCTGATGACCTGGGCTTTGCATCTCCTGCCAGCAGCAGAGATCCTCCATGTCCCTCCCCAGTTCCTTGTTTGCTTTGCTCTGTGCTTACTGATTAACTTTCTGTGTGCTAAAATGCAGATGATTTCCTGTTGCAAAATGTATTGATCTTTGGAGCAGCTGGTTTGCTGAATGAAGTACAGAAAGGAGGAGAAGTCTGGATTATTTCCTGATGTGTAGGAGATGGCTTGATGAAAATATGCCCCCATGTGCAAATTTGAACTCCGAGGATCTAATTCTGTTAACTTTCACTGTAATAAACCTGGAGGTTTTTCTTGACCTTACTGCAGTGACAGCCAGGCTGGGAAGTGATCTCATCTTCTCAGAGCAGAATCCATTTTGTGCTGCTGTGTTTGCACAGCACTTAGCACAGTAAAGTCCTGCTGTGTGCTTCAGATGTGGAGGTGCACATGTCCCCAGGGGGAGCAGTTCAGATGCAGCCCTTCCTTGGTTCTCCCATTATTAACATACTCTCTCAGTGCCACGGGAGCAGTGTATTTGTATCAGTGTATGACGCTCTGGGAAGGTTTGTTTGTAGGTACTGGTGCTAACAATGAGGGCATTCTTCTGTCACCTGATGATAAGCTTTCTTCCCTTCCCCTGTGGTCACATGGGATCTCTCTGTAGTCCTGTCAGCACATATATAATTAAAGCAAGCTGCTGTCAAGGAATTGAAGAAAGAACTTGCATATTGAATGTAAATATTTTCTGCACCTTATGGAACAAGAAATGATCAAAGACGGAATGACCTAATTGCACGTAAGTCTCTGGCTTCATGAGCAAACCTGTTGCCCTGGAAGCCTGCTGCAAGGTCATACTGGTCCCACAGTGTTCTCCTCCATGTTCCATCATGGGGCATTTTGCATCTGTAACAGCCATGCAACAAACCTGCCCCTGAGCAACAAACCTACTCCTGAATAATGTTGCCAGCATATATGTGTGTGGGGGAGGAAAAATGGCATTTTCTACAATCCTTTCCCAATCCTTCTTGTATTTCCATGCCTAAACTGCCTGTGTCTCACTTGCAAATCCAGCTGATAAAAGCGGTGTAGATTCCTGTGTACAGTCTCTGGGTTATCTGAGGGTACAGGCTATCTAAGGGCTTGCTTTCACAGAGAATAATTTTATCTAAGGTGGCATGAGGTTCAAGTTTCACTTGTGAAAATACAGTAATGCTGTAATTTGTTTGCTGTTCCTTGATAACTTACGCCTCGTGCCAGGCAAAATTCTCTCACCTGCACCATGTGAGACCTGGGCTTACTTTGGAGTCTTCCAAATGGCACCTGAGCAAGAAAAAGGTCTCTTGCCCCCTTCATGCACTGATGTTGTGCTTGTTGCTATATTCCGTGCCTCTACTTTCACTTCAAGATGAAAAGCTTTAGGTGTGGAGAGGTCTCTGTCCTGGCCCCCATGGCAAACTTAATATCCACCCTGAGCATTTAACCCGGAGGAATGAGGGCTGGACCAGACCTCTGGGAGCTGCTCTCTATAAGGCAGAAAGCCTGGGAAATTTGCAAACATCTATCTTATAAACTTGCCCCGACTGCTTCTGCAATCTATCCATGTGCCTAGGAGATGTTGTATTTGTGCACTGCTGCTCTCCCAGTCTTGCTGGATTATCTCCAGCCAAGGGATGATATTAGTCTTCACACTTGCAAGAAACTGCTTCTGCTACACATGCAGCTGCTTCGTCTGTGGCATTGCACACCAAGCTTCTCTTGTTCTATGAGTAGAGTTGTGCACTTTCATGGCTCAAAACCAAAGTCATGAGCTTCCTCAATGCAAAATCTTCCAGAAAGGCAGCTCCTGCAGATAACTGGCCATGCAAAGTAACAATTGCAAATGCTGCCTTCCACTTTACATTTTTATATCTACTAAAAGTACCAATTATCTTGGCGTATGTCTTAAGAAATACGTGTGTAATAATCCATTCAAGAGAGACCATTTTTTTCTTTTACACCTGTCACTTGCAAGGATGAACGAGCTGAATTCTTACTATAATTGTTAATTCTCAGCAATGTCTCTTCCTGCCAGTCCTCTCTCTGAACTGTTTCAGGCCTGGTACACATTACCAGGTAGAAACAAGTCTGCCTGTATTCCAAATGTTCACTTGCTGCTTGTGCATTCAATAAACTTTCACTTACTCTGCAAGGATTTCAGCAGGTTACTAATGTTCTTAAACTGGTCAAAAGCAATCAGTAAAATCACAGGTTTCGGCTGTAATTATTATTTCAGGATCTTGCTCTTGCATTCTACAGAGACAGACATGTCTAAAATGAAAACGTGAATGTGTTGATTGAAAATGAAAAATTATATTACTAGTAAAAAAAAGGGTACTTTTATTAAAAAACATGTTTTCTGTAAGGAAACAGCATCTACCTGCTATTTCTCACTATTATTTCTTCGTGTTGAGAATAGTTTTTATTTTCTGGCATTATTACCTATCATGAAATAAGGATAATAGATGAGCCCTGACATAATTCCTGAATCAAATTTGATCAGGGCGATCTAATGGCATAAACTGAAAAAACCAGCCTCTTTGGGGACTGTGATTTTGAGCCTGAGGTGGGATATAGTGCCTTTGTTTTGTTCTTGTAATGCTATCCCTGCCACCACTATAAAAGATGGAGAAGTTCTTCTACAGAGCATCTCGTGTTCTCCTTCAGGTTCCATCTGATACCGTAGTGGTGCTGCATCTATGACAAAACATTTCTAAGACCTTCCTCCTGAACTCTCATGTTCAGTCACACACATACAAACTATTTCACTCCTGATTTCAAGAAGAATGTTGGTTTTGGTGCAGGACTGGAACTAAATTTGATTGTTTGTGTGGTTCTTTGCAAATTTGTAATTGTGGTTACTATCTGCTGTGTTAGCATATAAGCAGCAGGCAGGGAGATCTCATTCCACAACCCCAGCAGACAATGGCTCAGGGAGCCACGAAGAAGTACTAGAATATCTTTCTGCTCTTCACACTGAAGTGAGGACTGAGTCCATTTCTTTCAGCACATTGCACCTTTGGAAGTGAATACCCATGCAAGTCATACGCTCACAAGCAGGGTCTCTCTAGGGGAGAATTCACCTTAAAATTCTTCCCAGGTCTAAGGCCTTGAAGAGGGAGACATCCTGCTCTTTTTTCTGTTCCATTCCATTGTCTGTGTACAAACACTAGGACAAAATGATTATGCCCGTGTTATAAAGAGATGTAAATACTAGGACTCAATGGTAGAAAGAAGATTTGCTTTAGAAAAGGGAAGTACACTAAAATAGAAAATAGAAAAAAAACCTGGAAAAGCACCACAGCTTTGTTCAGAATCCTTATCCTCCCTGTTGAAAACTACCAGGACAGAAGCAGAGGTGCAGTCCCCAATGCAGCTATTTAAATCAAACTGTGGTCACATCAGTTTGACTAGAAGGATTAGTAACAAAAACATCCTTTCTGAATGTCAGCCGCCAGCATCATTGTAGAAGGGCCTGAGGCTGATGATGCATTGCATTTGTGAGATTTTACAACTCTTGGTGGAAGACAGCTCCAAGTCCTCTCTCCAGAAAGTTGCCTGGCTTTCTCACAAGTCCAACTCCAGGTTATCATCTGCAGTGTTGACCTGCGTTGTGTGAATGAGCGGGCTCCATTTGATGCTCACTTGAGTGCTCATGACCTCGTCTTCAACCATCAATTCAAACAACAGCAATCTATTCAGTATTGGTTATCAGCCAGCAAGGCATCAGGTCCTGCTTGCTTGTGGCTCATTATACAGTACGCTTCCTACAAGGATCTGACATCAAGGCATAACAGCCTGGTCCTCAGTAGAGATTCCCATCCTTTGCCGCTGAGTGAGAAAATCCGATGCTGTCAAGCCACGACCTGGGTAATGCAGAGATGAGCACAGTAATGATCCGTCTGTCTTTGCTGGTACTCTGCACCATCTTGTGGCTGGCGGGAAAACACCAGAATACCCTCTGAAATCTTCCACCTTTTCCCCCTGTATTTTCCTAAAGAAAAATACAGACTGTCAGTTTACACTGACAAAACTCTGTGCCCTCTGTGTAGCTACCGTGAGTGCCTGCAGGTTGCCTTCAGAACCAGCCGAAGGGAAAGCCATCATTACAGATAAGTAGGTTGTGTGCAGATCCTATAGCATACATAAATTATCTGTCTGTAGAAGATTCCCTTGCATTTCCATGTATTTGGAACAAATTAAGCAGGTTAGGTTTTAAATCTGGAAAAGTAGATAAGAATCTCATGACCCCAGTGATCTCTGTTGTCACAAGAAGTGTTTGTTATTGATCACTGAAGGTTTTCCCACGCTCTCCTGTAATTCCTTTGCCTTCTTAAAAGAACTCTTTTAGCAGAATTACAGATTTCATCATCATCCATACCTGCAGACCCATGAACAGACCTCAGTAATACATCGTACAGAACAATGGTTAATCCAGTGAAATTTACAATAAACACAGTCTTTTCCTTCCACAGGAAGGTTTTCATCCTTCACCAAATTTAGTAGACTTCAGCCTGAGACTATGGTTTTAGAGGGCATCAGTTGTATTTGGATTCCAGTGTAACGCAGGACTGCATTCAGTAGGGAAGGCACTGAGAGCATCTGGGGTCTTTGTGTTTCAAGCAGTAGAGGAAGCATGGCTGGGACAATGAAATGATGATGTTCCTTACAGACCTCCCTCAATACTCTTTTAAACAGAAAAAATGTCCCCACAGTCAGGATCCACATCCTCTGTCACCTTGCCACGGGAGGATGAGGAAACTGCTAAACGCATGATGGCCAAGAGGGTAAAAATCATTGCAGAGCTTATGCAGACAGAGAGGGACTATATCAATGACCTGGATCTCTGCATCAAGGAAGTGATTCAGCCTCTGAGAAACAAGCAGGTAAGTGCCAAGGGTGGAGGACCAGGGGGTGACGTCAATATCCGAATTCACCTATGCTCTGTTTGCAGATAATCTTAAGGCAAGCACAGATGGCAACCAGAAGAGTGGCATGGTGCCTGATGCAGGTCCAGATCTGGCTTTCCAGAAGGCAGATGTGCCAGGACTGTAGTGAGGAGGGTGGGAAGTCAGATACACTTCTGATCCTTGTCATTGCAAGTGTGTAAAACCTTTGCATTGAGGTGCTTGCCCAGAGGGCAGCTTAGATGCTATATGCCTGCTCCCAGGCTTAGGCTCCAATGGCAGCTTCCCCTATCCATTTTGCTGTGCACATAACCACTGGCACATGTCCCAGCAGACCTTTACTGGCACCTCTGAAAGCAGTAAAAAACAATAAGAAGAAATATTTTCCATGGCAACAGCCTGGAATGGCATTAACCTTCCCATCAGGGTTAAGTTCCGTCTTAAAAATGACTTCAACCGGCTTCTCTGACAACTGTGGTGGAGAGGCACCATGCATGACAGACAGCCCAGTGAGCGCCTTGGAAATTTGCATTCCTCACAGAAAAGCTAAATTGAGGAAGGAAGGCTCATAAGCTATCTTACAGGCAAAAGATCTTATTAGGCCAATGATACTCAGTTTCCTTTTCAGCCAGGACTTCAAAGAGCACCTTTTCCTCAACAGTATTTCAATTTCTAAAAAAATTGTGCAGTCTCAAGCTGGGAATAGAAGAGCTTGTCCAGAGAAAGACTTAAATTCATGGGGCTTGCAACACAGCGTTCACAGAAGCTGCACAAATGGTATCTGCTGCTAATACAGCGTAGAAGTGATTTTAAACAGACCGTAAGCCTGTGTTCTGTATATATGATTCCAACAACTGGTCACAGAATAGGAGTATTGGAGATGAAGATGCTGCCTCCTCAGGGAACTGTGGCCACTGAAACCCATGTTGTTTAAAATCCTGCAGGACCATCCCTTTGTTTCCTAAAACTGTCTGAATTTGTTCCAACCCATTTTTGGAAGAGCTGGCATCTGCTGGTTTAACGTTAAGCAGTTCTTGACTTCTTTCTCCTCTTGGTTGTTCATCTACTTTGGAGTAGTCTCTGCTGGCTCCCAACCAGTACCCAGTGAGAGCACTCTGTGCTCGAACTCACTGAGATTTCTAACAAACATGCTGTATTCTTCTGCTCTTGTCCAAGCAACTCAAAACATATGTTTTGATTTTGTCCTTTATCACCGTGTTACCATGTGTGTCTAGGCATGACATAGTTCCAAAAGCAGTGTAGGCATTGTGCTGGAGTGGAGGTCAGAAGTCCACTGACAGATGAATACAGAGGAAAAGTAGAGATTATAACTATCTTAATGTAATAACCTCTGCAATTTTTGAAAGGCTTTCAAAATATTGTATGAAGTCAACTTCTCGGATAAACTACCATATTTGAAAGTTTGTAGTGTGTTTAGAGAAGGATAACATTTAGAAAATTGACCTAGGAATGGATCTGTTTCATATTTCTAAATGGATAAAAAATGTTTTAGCCCTATAATAATTATTAAAAAATTAACTACGGTAGAACTGAAAGTATATTACTGATTCGGTTACAGCAGCATGCAATTTGATCCTCCCAGCATCTGGAGAGCTGCTATGCAAGTAAGCAGTTCTGTTTCTAATGGAGAGGGATGTTCAGTGGGTACAGATATGGATGTCAAAATCAGTCTTGTTTTTGTTCTCAGTGTTAACACGTCACCACTGGCTATCCCCAGTTGTCCCTGAATATTAACTATCACACAGCTGCACAAGGGAGTATGTTGTATGAAAAGCACATGTCCTGAACATTTTTTGTTTAGTGTGAGTAAGGGAGACAATATAATATGGAGACAAATTTTTTGCTGATGTAAATTGAACCAGTTCACTGGAGTCAGTGCTGTTCTCCTGGTCTCCGCCTTTGATTATATTAATACCCAGAATTTTAAAGTGTTAATTTTAGTGGAAATTGTTAATTTTAGTGGAAATGACCTTGACTGTACTCTTCAGATTTACAGGACAACTAACTTAAAATGGTACCATCATTTGAAAGTCTTCATACCTCATGACTGACACTACAGCACCAAGGTCCCAGTTCATGTAGCAGCCTCCATGAATAACTGGAAAACAAGGAATCAAATCCCCTGCCAACTATTCTTCTTCTCAATGGGAAAATCAAGATTTAAAGCCAGCTAAATAACTTTTCTTCATTCAGATGATAATATCATTTCCTTCCTAGGTAAACTTTCAGATTAGGAACCAGTAGTTCAAAATAGTATTAAAATCACTTGATAAAACGCCTTTTGTTAACTGTGTCAACCCATTCTACTGATCTGAAAACTGTTTGCATCCCGAAAGTCACAAGGAGGATCTTTATATTACATTTTGCAGAAATTACGCCTCCTGGAATGCTGAACACGAAGGCCTTATCAAGAGAAGGTCTGTAAAATACAATGTCCTTCTTTATCCTTCCTCAGTAGCTGCTTAATATTTGTATTCCATTAGATTGCTCGCTTTGACGTGGATGGCTTGTTTAGCAACATCGAATCGGTCCATCAGATATCAGCCAAGCTGCTGTCACTGCTGGAAGAAGCCACAACAGATGTGGAACCACCCATGCAAGTAATCGGTATGTTTACTGTTCTCTTGAGTTCTACAAAGCCACGTGAAAAAATAAATATAACACTCTCTTGTCCTATACCTTCATCAGACTAAACCAGCACCACTCTCAGAGAGTAATGTGCTACAAGCTGTCCACAGTAATACAGGAAAAAGGAGATGTGAAACCTGTCCAGTGGCTCTGCTGTGCTCATGTCAGGCTTGAGCGTGGTGCTTGCTCCTCTGGATGTTGAGGGGAAGGGGAAAAGGAGGAAGTGAGCTTATCGAGAATGAAAACTGCAACACTGAGTTATGCTATATAATGATAACATCATTTTCATCTAGTTCAGTATTACCTACCTAACTGCTTATGCTTAAACCAACTTTTATATTGCATGTTCATACCTGTACCATTTGAGAAATGCATTAAGATTGGTTGGAATATAAAAATGTCACAAAAAAAAAACCTACCCAAACATCATTAACATATTTACTGGCAATTTAATTAATGTAAAAGGTGATTAACAGAGACATGGTCAGTAAAAGAAAGAAAGCAGTAATCAATATGGAGCTTCTGTGAATCTGTGTAGGAATGTCTGTAGGAATCATGAATATTTTTAGCAAACAGATTTCCCTTGGATATATCACAGCAATCATACATTCAGTAGCTCAGGCCATAAATGTTATGGCTGGGATCTATTCACTTGACATTCTGGCACAGGTGGAGAGATTTACGAAGTTTCCATTCATCAGCTCTTCTGTAATTGCTTATTCAGTGCAGAAGTGATAGGTGATCCAGCTTAAGAAATCAAGTGAGAAATCGTAATTCGCTTGAGCACAAAGTTAGCAAGTTTAGTTTAAAAAACTTTCAGCTATGATTCAGAGGTCAGAGGGGTTATTTTTTCACTATACTGACCATGTACCACAGGTAACTTGTTATAGAAAGAACCATCTTCTTGAAAAATAACAGGGTAAAAAATTGCCAGTTACCCTTTGGCTAGGGAACACAACATTAAAGCTTGGGAAAAGGTATTAATCCTAGCATGTCTCAATCTGGTTTGCCAAGGCAACAGCTTAACGTAGTTTGATGAAACTGTGTTGTTTGGCAGTATTTCAATAAAAGTGCATCATGATGAGTCATACCCTTAATAAGCAATGTTCTATTCTAGCAGGAAGTGGCTTTCTCAACAGCAGGGAGAATCATTCTTTCAGTCTGCTGCCATCCAGAAGTAAGGACAAATAATTTAATCAGTTTAGTACGGTGTATTTCTCCAGAATCAGACAAAAGACTATCAAAATGTATAGGATTTTGGAACAGAAAGTTGACTAAATTATGGCAGGGAAAAAGGTGGAACATAAGATGAGAGCAATTCTTCTAAAGACTGAGTCTAAAGCAGGGAGAATAATTGCATCATTGTAAACAATAAGTTACTAAGTTTGTCACCTTCAAAAAGAGCAGATTATAGTTGAGTCTTCAGAATCCTCCCTCATATTCATTGTAAAAGTTATTAAAGCCAGTCTTTCTGTAGGATGAGAAGCTGTTTAGCACACCCATCCTATTGTGTCTGTGGTATTTAAACATCTTCCACTGAAACATCTTCCTTTGGAAGGAAGCCCAGTCATGGTGAGGCTGAGGAGAACTGCTGTTTCACGAGTTAGAAATCAAAATTATGTAGTTACTTGTATTGATGTCTAATTTTAGTCTCCACATCTTAGGCTATACTCACATTGACAAGTTGTAGTGCCCATAGATTCAGACTCGTATAACAGAACAGTTAGTGCTGAGGACCTGGTATATACAAATTTCAAGAGGTCTTATTTCAGATTAATTTTAGCCTATTCCTGTAAATTGAAAGGTACACTTTATGCTGTGCCCTAAGAGTATATCTTCTGGTAATTACCACCTCAAAATGATGCAATCTATCTGTCTGTTAACTGTTTCTCCACACAGCCAAGTCATGGGAGATGAGGCAGAGTGAGACTGCTTTAAAAGCCCCCTCCTAATCTGTGCTAAAATGCTAATGTCGCTTTGGTGGTTGGTCTCCTGAAGCTAAAAGCAGTAGAAGACAAATGATCTTTCTAGTTCTCCCTTGTGCTTTTTCTCCTCTGTGATCTGGTTGCTGTACATAGAGGAATATGAAGACTTAATAATTTTACTCTGCCTTTAAATATTGGGCCCTTTCTTCCTCCCTCTCCCACTGCTGTTCACACAGGAAGCATCACTGAAAGCTGTAAGGAGAAAGTGTTGCTGCCACTGAAGCCTTCCTCCTAGGGTTGCCCCTTTGAAACTGTCTGACCACCACGCTCAAGAAGAGGCAGATCAGGCAGATGTTGATCTGTCAGAATGCTCAAAATACTCATTATTTATAAACCTGTGCCCAAATATGATGCATTTTTGGTCCATAAAGCAAGTTACCACAGTGATATGCTCAGTGCTCAACTGACTCGATCTATACATCCCAGAACCAAGAAGAAATTTAGGCTTAAGTACCCCAACAGCTTTTAAAAGATCCCATCCATGAAATTAGCACATAATTTCTCTCATTATTTTATCATAAATGAAAGTATCTATCATTATGGCATAATACACCAATGAATTCTCATCTTTTCCATTCTGAAGGAGAGAATGACTATTTCCAGGTTCCAGTATATGCTGAAGGGAAGCCTAAGAGCATAGTTTACATTTTTTTGCTGCAGAAAATATTATCTCTCTTAAGAGCTCCATGTACTATGGGCTGTGCTAAGCACTCTGCTTAAAGTTAATAAGTGTGAGAGTTCAGCATCTCTGCCTAGGGCACAGGATCAGGAGAAAGCTTGTTATGGTTTCCCCTTACATTGTTGGCTCTGTGTAGTTTACAGAGAAGTCAGGATGCAGTGTGTGTTGTTAGCCATCAGCATTACCATTTAGCACAAGACAGAGAAAACAGAGATGACAGCACCCAAAGAAGATGCAGCTTTAGGATGCAGGTGCTTTTCTGACTGTGGCCTTACAGTAACTAAAATGAACTTCTGTGTTCTTAACTCGGTTGTTGTTGTTCCCTTGTTCACACCTTGAAACCAACATGCATTAGACAGCCCAGTTAACCTTCTCTGCTAGGGAAGAAACCCAGAGCTGTGTTACTGTGGTAACTGAATCATTTTTCACTCTAAGACAGAGCAGTTCAATGCAATGTATTATGAAACAGCTGACTTCGGTCAGGATGAAAGAGGCAGGATGCCTGACAGCTTTGTGCTCACTCTGTGAATGAATAGAGCTCCCAATTAACATGGTGCTCAGCTTTTAACTTTAATAATCATGGCTATAACTCAACAGGAATGTTTATAAAACATCTGACTGGTTGCCACGTAGATGTAATTTTTCTGTAACTGCTTGAGACAGTAGTTTTCACCATTGCTATTGTTTATTATGTGCATTTCCAAGGATGCTGATCAGGATGTTGCTACATTAGGGTGTGAGAACCTAATGAATATCTCAGCAGACGAGATGAAGCGTGCTTTCTCTGCCTGGATAATATTTCTTACATACACAGAAAGCAGCACAGGAGTTACAAGCTGAGAGAAACAGGCACCAAACTTATATGGGAAATGGGTGTGGGACTACTTCAGTGCCTCTAAAATTCCCAACTGTTTTTCAGGAAAAACAATGCAGCAGAGGATCAGAAATGTAAATACTTTCTCCTTTCACTCTGTATAGAAATGCCTGCAATCCACAGTGATTTTAATTTGTTAGAGGAAAAGGTGAAGATTGTTCCTGTCATGTGAGGAAGATTTCCCACTCTAGGCCTTAACAACTGCCATTTCAGGATGTTGCAAAACAGATAAACATGAAATGGCTAACGGGAGATGGAATCATTATTCCTGTTATAACCCATTTAAGTTCATATCCAGCTGAAAAAAAAAAAAGTCAAAAGGAAAATGAATATCCTTACACTTGTTTCTCCTGCCAGCTCACAGGGCCAACATAGTCTCTCCTTAGCAGCAGAGCTCTCCTGTTTGGTTCTCACTGCATGGGTGTTAAGGTGGGGCAGTAAAGTAGGGGATTGTATAAACAGGGGTGCAGGTGTAGAGATTTTGTCCCTGTTCTCTGGGGAATTTTTGTGCATTAACACTGGTATAATGGTGCCTGGCTGTGACAAAGATGAGCAGCTGAGAAATACATGTAATAAATAATGCACATAAACACACAAGATCATTTCTAAGGGAAGTAAAGTGGAAAGCAGCCTTTTTAGCTCACGGCTAATGTGGTGGAATAATAAAACTCCTTCTGAGATGCTGTTGTCTGGCTTGACATCCTTTGTTTTTCTCTTTAACAGGGGAAGTGTTCTTGCAGATTAAAGGCCCACTAGAAGACACATATAAAATCTATTGCTATCGCCACGATGATGCACACACCATGCTGGAATCCTATGAAAAGGATGAAGAACTGAAGCAGCATTTAAGACTCTGTGTACAGTCCTTAAAGTAAGATCTTTTCAAATGATGATTTCCGTCCATAGTCAGTTGCCTGGCAGGGAACATTTTAAATGGATGCAGATGAAAGGTCCCCTGTAAATCCAGAGTTTTATGAGGCTTGCTGGAAGCTCTGGCTTATGCTGCTTTCATGAAAAGATGACAAGCCAGGGGCCATGATTAGATTTCTTTCTCTCTAAGATGGCCAAAAATAGCACAAGAAAGGCTTCTCTTCTCTTAGCTTCAGTGCCCCATACCGGCAGAAGAAATGCTGCATCATATAATGGGTTGCTGGGAACACCTTGCCCAGCTCCCAGGAAACACACTGGCCCCATTTTCAGCGATTCTGTTGCCTGGATTAAAATGGCACGCAGTGGAGCTATTCACACATACTGGTGTTTCTGGACTCCCACTATAAGGCCCCAGAGATCTGCAGCTATGCTCGACACCTCACGATGAGGGTATTTGAAAGTGGCCTATGTTGAAACAAGCTGTCATGTCCCACCTGTTGAATTTCCTTCACACCATTGCCTCCAGCACCAGCCCCTGGGGGAAGTGCACTGGGGATGCAGCAGAAAAATGGCTCTGTCTTTCCTCCAGCATGGCTTCCTCTTGCACCCGGAGAACCAGCTCGCTTTCTCTATGAGGAGTGCTTCTCTTCACTTGCGAGCTCCCTTACTCCCTCACTTTCTCAAAAATCTTGCACAGAGCTGTCAGGAGGTAGCATACCCCAGTCCTTCAGACCATAGGTCTCCCGCCAGCTCCAGAAAAGGCTGGTGCTGCACATTTCCACAAGAAATGCAAAGCTGTCACAAATAATTAATGGAGTGTACATCAGCAACAGAGATTTCAATTATACCCCAGCTAGTGATCAGTTAGCAGAGATGTGTTAGGAGATGGAAAGTATATCTGAGTGAAATCTGAGAATAGTAGCAGAAGAAAACATGAACAAAATTAAAAGATAAATGTTTACTTCGAAGACAGGTTATACAGAAAATAAGACTTTGTGCACCATGGCCAGGTAGTAAATACATAACCACATATATGTGCAGAGTACTGAGGCTTCAGTCACCTTGGAAGCTGAAAGAAATAGATTTTCATATAACCTCTGGTTTTCACGCTAATGGATGGCCAGGTATCTCCCTAAGGGATGTTTCAGTTGCTGACTCCTACAGTATTCTTTTCTGGCTAATAAAGAGAAGTTGTCCCTGTCATTCACTCATCCCTTCTACTGAGGCAAGAGGATATGGGAGGAGATAAACATAAAAGATAGTGCCTGTGTATATGCCGGGTGGATGTTGCCACTTGAATTCCAGAGGCAGTAGGAGAGGCTTCTGTTCCTTCATCGCAGGTGGGATTTGTGAAGAGAAAGGATACTTTATGCTGAACTATTACAGCCTTTGGTAGCAGGAAGTAACGAACCTTCCCCAAAATGAAGCTTCATTTTGTCCTATTCTTTTCTGATTGGCTTTTAAACAGGAACCAAGGAAAAAATGCCATTTCGTGTATACTGTGTTGCGCTTTTCTCCCAATGGCTAGAAATAGCAGCCAGTTCAAATATTAAGACTTGAAAGTGCACACTCAAATGCACAGTTGTAGTCACCTAAATCTTTTACTTCTGATGAGAGAGCACTTGTCCTAGGAAGAAAATTATGTACAAATTTTACTAAATAAGTTACAGACTGTTTTATATTGTGAGATATAATATAAGGGGGCCAGTGACTACTATTCTCGAGAACTGTTTACTTCTTACATCTTTTCTTTTTTCCTTGGGAAGAATACTATTACATTAAAAAAAAAAAAAAAAAAAAAAAAAAAAGAGGTCTAGCAAGAGACTTCTGTTCCTCAGCTGAGTAATATCTGCCTTGTAAAAAACAACTTCTGTATCAAGATAAATTTGCAAGTAGCCCTCTGCACATCTGTACAGACAAATCAGATTTAATTAGCCATGCTTAGATTCCTACGCCTCCTGTTGACTAAAGGGGAGAAATTCCATCCCAAAATGTAGGTGTCTGTATGGAGACATGTGCAAATCCAAATTATGTAGAAAGCCATGTTTCAGCAGTGATTATGCAAAACAGGAATGTTATTTGCTAGCTTAGCCAAAGAAATGCAGCTGGTAAAAATGAAAGGATGCTGGCAACTACCTGCTGTGCTTTCAGTCTGAAGTATCTTGGTCAACTATTACAGGGGCAGAGGGACGTCAGAAGTACTCAAAGAGCTGATGGTGCAGAAGCAATGAAAATACCAGCTTCCAGATGCTCCTCTGGCTGCTGATAGGCAAGGAGATGAAAGTGCAGGTGGTCAGAAAGCAGTGGCTGATTATATGATGTCAGCACTCAATACCAGAAGAGTCTCATGCAGAGGTGGAAGGACATTGTGGTTCCACAGAATCACAGAATGGCCAGGGTTGGAAGGGATCTCAAGGATCATGAACATCCAGCCCCCCTGCCACACGCAGGGCCACCAACCTCCACATTTAATACTAGTTCCCTTGCATTTGGGTGAAGTTCTCTGAGTTTAATTGTACCATGAGGAAAATATTCTGTGTGCATTTTTGCATGTTTCCAAAAAACAACAGTATATCTCTGCTGCTTTCTGTACGTATATCAACAGTATCCTACTCTGAAGAGGTTTCAGTTGATAAATAGCCTCTCAAAAAGTTGAACAACTTCATTGATTCTCTATTCTAAAAGTCTAAAATGTATTCTTTTTCACATAGAAATCATGTAGGAATGACATTTAATTTTGTTCTTTGTGCTAAGGATTTGATGTTGCTAGCACAGCGACTCAAGCTGCCTTCTCTAACAGAGTTAGGAGAAGGCTGGGTGAAATCCAGGTTCCTGACAATCTTTTCTCATTTGGGGCTGTCCTTTCAAAAAGATGTAGGGTCAGATTCATTGGTACCCTCTGGCTGTTTTGTGCAGTTCTGCTGACACACAGCAGCCATAAACCTAAGTTAACTGGCTAGTTACAGCTGCTCTGTGTCACCGAAGTGTATCTGAGAATCTGGCCCATGATCTGTATAAGTCCTTTTAGGAGGAGCTAACATATATTTTCATTCCTTTTCTTTTGCAGAAAGATGTACGAGGAAGAGTAAGTACCACGTCTTTTTCATGTGTAAAATAATCTTTAAAATATCTTTTATTTATCTTAAGTATGCTTAAAACTGTACATGTGGAAATTTTAAGAATGCTAAGCAATATAGTAGAATGCATAGACTTCTCCAGGACATATGTGATAAAACACTCTCAGTTTTAATTTCTCTAGGCCTGTCTGGTTTTCTAATTACTAACTGCACTGGCTTTGCAATGTCTTTCAACACTTGTGGTTTATGAAGCTACTTAATTTGGATACCATTTCATTCAGAGCCCTTTACTACTACCTTGTTGTCTAATAAATGTGCTTAGAGAGCTCTGAGCTCCTCAGCAGTGCTTGTCAACAGTGCAGTGTCAAATCTGAAAATCCAGGCACTCTTCAATTGCTTTGCATTATGCATCTGTAGGCCTGCTCAGTACACACCAGGCTGATAGGTAAAGCTATTTCTAAGGTGAGGACACTTTTGGTAGCCCTAAATATATGAGAAATCCATCTTTCTGAGAAGCTTCCCTCTGACAATGGCTGTAGGAACATCAGAAAAGAATAAATGTCTGGCAGCACCTTGCCAGATCACTCACCCAGCTTTGGATACCTTCTTGTTAAGGGACTTCTGTGCCAATGTGACATCTTTGAAAAGCTTTAAGGGAGAGTTTATCAAGGCTGTGGTTTTGGACATCCAGCAGGTCTGGATCCTTGAAATACAACACCTTCTGAATTTACCTGCAGGGAGGGGTAAGAGAACGGGTTAGCTGAACCAAAGAACATTATTACAATCCAGTCAGAAATGTTAAGAGAAGAGAAGCAGGTATGCTTTATGTGGGTAGGAGAGAAACATCTGTAAAATCAGAGAATTAGTCAGTCGGACATCATAAATAAGGTCAATGTAAAATAGACTTCAAAGGATTTACGTGTTGAAATCCTAAGTTGGGGTTTTCAAGATTTATTCTGTGATTGAAAGTACTTTATTTGCGTTTTGATAAAGGAGATTCTATACTCCTTTCTAAAAAGGTGTGGAGGTCCTAGGAGGAACACCAAATACCCAATAACAAATAACCCAATGACAGTAAGATCACGTGAGAGAGCAGTGTGTGTAGAAATAACACAAGACTGGCTGCTCTGCTTTGCACTACCCTCCCAGAAGTTAACGCATAGCTTTCTCCTTCAGTTTACAGTGGAGTGTAGGATACAGCACACTACTTGAGCTGAAACTAGCTCTTGTAAAGCTGTGCAAGGAATGATGTTCAGCTCAGGAACCCTCCCTGAGCTTGGCTACCTTGCATGACTTGTTGGCATTTGTGTTCCCCCTGCAGGCACACAGGGCATGCTGAAATGCCATCTCCTGTACTTCAGAAGTTGTGTAGTCACAGCAAAATGTGGGCAGATCTGCACCTGAAAGTCTGCTCAGTCTGCTCTGTGTTCGAGTTGGAAAGCATGGCATAACTCCTCTCAAACCATCTCCCAGGTTGCTTTTCATTCAAGTGTGATCAAGAAAACAATTATACACATATCAGACAAAGCTGCTCATTGCTATCAACTAGATTGGTTGGATTCTGCTTGGATTAACAACTGTGCAGCCTCACTGAAATCCCTGGGTTTGCATGACAGCCTTACAGCACAGCAAATTATTTGCCCTGCCTGTTTTGTGCTAATATGGGCTCACACATAGTAAATTGTAAAACTCAAGTCTTTGAGATGTGCTGCAGCCTGTGATGTGTGCACACAATTTCAGAGCTGCCAGCTGAACACAACACTGTCCTCAGCCCTGCAATACCAAACTGGCTGTCATGTTCACCACAGGACTTACCTGCTAGACAGCAAAAGTGTGTGAAACTAAACCCTGGGTCCTCTCTCTTTGCACAGCTCACCACCATGTATTTTTTAAACTGGTGGGAGCCCTTCTGCATCTGTGAGCTTGCTTTGTTGTAAGGAGGGAAGCAGGGTATGCCATGAAGCTCACTGCAGCTAAGCCAGCTGCATGCTCTGCAGAACTACACTGAGAATCTGCTATGAGATTACTGCAGCTACTTACAACCTAGAATACTTGCTAAATTCACGATAAGATGTGGGAGAGGTAGAAGCAGCATTGCAAATGAATTATCAACTTCATTCTCTGCACAATGGATGTCACAAGCCTGTTTTGGTCGCGTGGCGGTGCCACATCCTGCCTGGCTGCCGAACGCGTGCTCACTGGGCCCACTGGAAATGGGACTCATCCAGGGAGAGTGGAGATCAGCAGATAATCTCGCTGGGGAGAATTAGAGGAGTTGAACTTTGTGGCATTCGGTGCCCCAGGGAGTCATTATCTTACAACAAACCTACTATCTCTCAAACCATATTGCTAGACTGCGTCATGCAGATACGTGAACAGAGGGCTGTTTATCACTTGGGCAGCTGTCCAAAGTGCAACTATATAAAGAGAAGATACTTGAAGATTTTTCCATTCATGAGGCAGCTTCTACAGATTTGCATTCAAGGGGCTTTTTAGAGAAAACAATAACAATTTAAGATTTTTTTCATTATTGCTGCCAGAAGCTGAAAGAAGGGAAAATAGCTCTATATATTTAATGTAGGATACAGGGAAAATGAGGGGGATTGAAATGATAAGAAGGTTTTGGGACATCAAGAAGCTTTAAAAGGCATCTACTTTTAATTTTTTTTTCATGCAGAACTTTTTGCAGATAATGTCTGTGCAAGAGAGATGGTTTA